TCAGCTGAATGAAGAGCCAAGTGAAATGACACAAGGAAGAGGAAGGAGTAAACACCACCAACAACAAAGCCATGGGTGTCCATCTCACAGTACTAAACGAACGAGAGTTTAGCTTCACTTATTCCATGGGGGATTCGTGTTCCAAATTCCAAGCACTCCGTGAAGGACGATTCAACGCCACCATTCTCCAGGAAGAGAGAGGTTGTGGGACTTACTTCCAAAGACTTATTTTCGGTGGTCACGTCGTCAGTTGACTTGAACAGATAATCAAAGACTTGGAGCTATATTTGGCTACTTCCTGGAAGGCTGGACTGGAACTATACTTGCTCTCTTCTTCAATGTCACCTCATCCAATGTATAATGAGACGTCTGGGGAGGGGGGATGACTCTGCCCGTCATTTGGAAAGTCGACACAGCATCATTGAGGGAGGAAGATGAACCATCAGGTATATAGACGACCGAGGACCCAGGCACAGAGCTGTTGAATTGTCAGCCATCGCCTTGCAAAGCCAACTGTACAAAGACCCATCACAATCAAGAGTCAAGACTGTACAAAGCAGACTGATTGCCAACCTTCTTGATACGTTATATATTATGGTTTATAGTCACTACTCAGGGCCTGTTCGGGAGGGATTCAGCATTGATTGAACCACGTTTACTGAGCCTTTTTTGGAGAAGTTACCACAACTATTTTAATAGGAAAACGTATTTACGTATTTACGTATTGTTGTGCAACCGCAATAAGAAAGCAAACATAAATTTGAACTTCTACATAGATATGGTCAACCTAAGCCCGGCCGGTTAATTAATTTGGTTCATAAATTCGTTGTGAGCCTAACCCCGGTTTCAGCCCGAAGGACCATAATCATAGATTTGAGTCCTTCTCGCTCAGTTTCGAAAAGGATACAAATACAAATACAAATATATATATATATATATATATATGTAGAGTGTGCAGAACCTTAATTGTATTTTGTATTATTTTCTATATGTTTGTATTCTTTCCAAACTGAACCTCTGTCTCAATTGTTCAACTGATTTCACATGTATTATAGGCTTAAGTATATAAAATCTTAAACACACAAAACTAGCATTTCTAAAACAGAATTAACTAAATCATTAAATTCATATTAACATTATTAAATATTTCCTTTTAAAGTGGTTATTGTATTAACATTATTAAATAAAGTTAGGATGAATAATGCAATTTTTATTATTTAGAGGCCCTTATATTTCACATAAGGCTGCAAATGGATTAATTATATCATATGGAAACTTGTATCCGAATCTGATCTAAAATATAATTGGATTTGAAAACATGGGATTTAGATCAAAACTTGCTTTTTATCCGATTCCGTTTTAACTTTTTTAAATACAAACCAAATTAAATAGATCACCAATCCCACTTGTGGTTAATAAAATAGATCACTGATTTTTTTTTGGTAATTAAATAGATCATTGATTAACTTAAGAAAGACTTTTTCACTTACCCCAGACACATGGTTTCCTGAAAAATGAATGGGCCGTAATTAGTTTTTTCATAATTGGATAGATGGTAAAGGTTGTGTTTGATTTAATAGAAAACAAAAGAGAACCAGAAATATGGGGAAAGATTTTAAGAAAATTTGGTTTTCTATCAAAATCAAAATGTTTCTATCTCGATAAAACACAGTTGGTCATGGAAAGTATTACAGTATAGAATTACTATACTGTCACCGTCAGACAAGCTTTAAAGATTTGTTGGCGACTTTCCGGCGTTTTCGTTGCACTGGGCCTGGAGCGCATTTCAATCCCATTCTGTCCTCATGCATGCAACCGTTGAATGGCCACTTCTCGTTACTGTTCATATGAAATGGCCAAGCTGAATCGGGCTTGGCTCAGGTTTTGTACTAATGATAAGGGCTTAAGCTTAGGTTTGGGCCCGGCTTGGCCTGGATTGCAAGTTCAAGCCTAACCTTTATACAGGCCCGGACTGGGCTTACGGGCCTTTATACAAGCCTAAAGACCCATTATAGTGATGCGAGAACACTGGAAAGTTGCTCAATTACACAATCTAGACATGTGTTAAGCAATTAAACCCATTACAAAGCTTCTAGAGCACTTCAGTCATTTGGAGAACACCGTAAAAGGCTATAGAAAACTTCCGCTTTGGCTAGTAAATTTACATATAGACAGGACAGTGGGCATGACATTAGGGTTATAGACCAACGTTAAGGAAAATTAAAGACTTGTTGGTGACCGACTTATAGGATCTTCGTTGCCTGGGCCTGGTGTGCATTTCCCAAACCCATTCTACCCTCATGAGATGCCATTACAGAATGGGATTGGCCACTTCCTTTGATCTTCTTTCTTTTTTATTTTGCCATTATTTGTTTTTCCTTAGTTCCTAGCTGGAAGATGACCTAGACCTTAGTCGTGTAATGAGCTGAACGAAACTGCAAGATAGAGGATCAAAGAACCCGGGGTGGTTAACTCGGCGAGGTCGTTCTGATGCTTAAATCAATACTGTATTATGATTGCGAGCTGGACACTTGAGTGTTAGAATGCTAGTGAGCAAATAATTGCGCATACCTGAGTCTTGGGGGTTGAGGCCCTTATATAACTGAGATGTTGTAGGTCTCTCGAAACGTTCCCAGAATCTTTGGCCCGTGACGTTAGGATTCGTTCCGTTTTGGTAGGAGAGTAACATGTCAATTAATGAGATTTATCATTTCCCTCTGATTCGGACGGGGAGAAGATAAGGCATATGGTTATGTGACGTGATCTTGGGAGATTTAGAGATAATTGGCGACCTTCTAAGTTCGGTTACATAACATCTCGGCGTGTCTGGGTACTGAGGTGCTCTGGTGCCGAGGTGCTCTGACATACCACCTAAACTCCTTGTACCACCTAAACTTTGTAATGGTCTCTCGGCTAACGCGAGAAACTTTGTAATGGTCTTCGACTGATTCACTCTGACGTACCACCTAAACTTCTTGTGCGTGACTCCTTTCCGAGCTGCGGTGAGGCGTACTATTGGGTCAAGTTTCGGTATTTGTAAGCACGTTTCATTGAAACGTTTGATGTAGCTCCGAATTGACTCGTGTTCCCTCTGTACCACGTTTAGAAGGCTCTCTTGTAACTTCGGGCACTTCTTACTAGTGATGAAGTGGGCTGTGAACTTGTCTACGAACTGTCTCCAACTTCTGATGGAGCCTAGCGCGAGGTTCCTGTACCAAGCCCGAGCTAACCCTTTGAAGGTGGTGGAAAAAGCCACACACATACATGCTTCATCTGCCCTGACGAGATGCATTTGAGACTGGAACGTATCTACATGATCACTGGGGTCGTAGGATCCATCGTACTTGTCCAACGGAGGTACCTTGAAATCTTTCTGCATTGGGATTGCTAGTAGCTCGGGTGATAGGGGGGATTGCCGGCTCAACAAAGCTGGAGCCACTTGTGTAGCCAATGACTTTACTTCTTTCCTTTCCTTACTTTGTTCCAACGGTTGGTTGTTCTTCGCTGGCAGGCTGTTCCTGACCTAGGAATGGCGAGTCTTGCGACGTTGCTGCTATTGCTTCTTTACTGGCTCAGTATTAGTGTTGCTGACTTCTGTATGGTCAGGCACCTCAATTCTGGTCCACTCTCACTCCCCAACACTATCACGAGGTGGATAGGTGTTGGCTGTTGCGGGGTTCCGAGGAGTCTCGTCTTGAGCCCACACCTTGGGCCCCAAGCTGACGATCATTGCGTCGTGATCCATTGTTCTCCTACTGCGAAAGTTGCTGTTGGTTGTTCCTCTCGGGCTAGCTGACTTCGGGCATGTCCTTTGGATTCCCCCTTTGAGAAACTGGGGGAGTGTGCTGTCCGTTTGTCCTGCCCCAAGGTGGGGTCTGACCTCTGGGAGGGATCGGTACCTGCGAGGTCCCCTCACCCCGATGGGGAGATTGGCGGACATCTTGACGGACCCTGTGCTGATTTTGGCTCTGGTTCTATCTTTGAAACTAACCTGTGTGCTGTGGTGGAATATGCTATTGGCTTGGTTGTAGTGGCAGAAACTACTATTGGTATTGTTGGTAGAAATAATACTATTGGAACTATTGGAATTGGTGGATCTGCTGCATCTGGATCTGCATCATCCTGACGCTCTGAACGATGTCGTCGAACTGAGAACGCCCGACCCCATGAGGGATCACGGAAGGCTCTAAAAAGGTGGTGTTCATTTGGGGCAATGGGACATTTATCTGTTGGGTTGTCTGAGGCACTGACGGAGAGGGGATCCTTGAAGCAGTCAGGGGAATGGTAAACTGCCCGATAGTCACTAAGGGGCCTTGAGGGAGTGACATTTGATGATCTTGCCCCCTGGTGGCATTCATGTCAATGCCCTTACCGGTGTTGCTGGAAGATGCCATGAAAAAGAGTGTGGCAGTTGATGAAATGTAGTATTGACTTTTCGATCGATTCCCACAGACGGCGCCAATTGATAGTGTGTGATATGGAAACTCCTAGCTGGAAGATGACCTGGATCTTAGTCGTGTGGCTAGTTGGACCAACTGCAAGATAGAGGATCAGACAACCCGGGGTGGCTAACCCGGCGAGGTCGCTCCAATGCTTAAGTTAGTACTGTATTATGGTTGCGAGTCGAATACTTGAGTGCTAGAATGCTAGTGAGCAAATAATTGCGTGTACCTGAGTCTTGGGGGTTGATGCCCTTATATAGATGAGATGCCGTAGGTCTCTCGAAAGGTTCCCAGAATCTTCGGCCCATGACGTTAGGATCCGTTCCGCTTTGGTTGGAGAGTAACGTGTCAATAAATGAGGTTTATCGTTTCCCTTCGGTTCGGACGAGGAGAAGATAAAGCCTACGGTTACGCGACGTGATCCTGGGAGGTTCTGAGATAATTGGTGACCTTCTAAGTTTGGTTACGTAACACCTCGACGTGTGTGGATACCAAGGTGCTCTAGTGCTGAAGTGCTCTTATGCCTAGGGGACCAAGCTCTCGAGGTCCTGCGATCTAATATCGATGCACCACACACTGATCTGTCGTCTGACTAGCAGGCCACATCCACATGTCCTTACTCATTAGATCGGGCCAAATCACTTCTCATTAATGCTAAATGCTAATGTTATTTTGCTTGTGGTCTGGCGCTGATGGCCCATGGGTAAGGCTAAGGGCTAAGGCAGCACTATGATCCCGCTCGCTTTCTATGGGTGGGTCGAGCTTGAGCCAATCCCTCTCCTCTAAAAGAAACGGAAGTGAAACACATTAAATAAATGAGCCCCGGAGCTAAGAGTCAAAGATGCTGTTATTTGGTAAAGCGTTCAACTCAGTGATGGAATAGTTGAAATTGGGGGCTAGTGCAGTTGAACATAAATATCATAAGCTTGCTACGTACCAAACACCTTTGTTATATATATATATATTACTAGGCCCATCACCATACATGAACAGGCCTTGATTTTTAACTTAAATCGGAGTATGAGCACATTGTGTAGCATAACAGTAATTAGGTTACTCTGTTCGAATGACTCAATCTTCCTCGCACAAAGACCCCGTTGCTGGTGGGATAGTAGGTCCACCGTCCTTTTTCTTCACTTGTTATTTCTCCCATAATTGCGTCTTTTACAAGTTAAAACCCATTTGGACTTCAGTTGGTAGGTAACGTCTCTCTTTTCACTTCCCCTGTTTTCCATTTTAATATTTTCCTTTGTGAACCACTTCCCCTGTTCTACATTTTATTTCTAACTACTTCGGGATCACTGATTTTGTTTCAAAATTTATACTTTTAGAGGTGAACCACCATATATGAAATCTTTGAATAGTGCAGATGTATAGTCTTTGCTTTACTTTGCCAACTTAATTTACTTTTGTCAAAGAATTTCATGTACTGAGAGTGAGAGGTTACCTCAGTGCTCTAGACTTTCGAGAGATTCCTCTGCCTCATTCCATCTCTTGTTCCCTCTTAAGAGATAGTTTGTTGCTTTAGCCTCACAATCCATACTTGATCTTTCACTCTCAACTTCGCCCAATGCAGCCTCACGTATTCCTCCCATCTTCCCTGCTAGCGCTCTTCCTGTTTACAGCTATCGTCTTCCTCTCCATTGAGGTTCCATCAGCTTTATGCGGTGATGATCCACAATACTTAAACTGCAATCGCACTTTCGACTGTGGAAACGTCCAAGGAGTCGGCTACCCTTTCTGGGGAGATGGTCGACCCAGTTATTGTGGCCCTCCGGAATTCAGGCTGGTATGCGGAAACAACAACCTAACTTCCATTGAGATCATGTCACAAAGTTACCGCGTTTTGCAGATCGATACCAGGAATCGAATTCTAAAGGTCGCCCGAGTGGATGTGTTGGACGACGGCATTTGTAAAACGCAACCTGTAAACACCAGCCTCAATTTCACCCCTTTCACTTCTATTCCGAGTGATCTGTACATGAATTTGTTCTACGGGTGCTCGTTAGGGTCAGGGGGGCAGGGGTATCCGTATGATAAAATTCCGGCCAAAGTCAGTTGCCCCTACAATGGAGATCCAACTGAGGTTCTCTATATCATCGATCAGGTTCCAATACACGAGGACTACAGTAGTTCTAGTGGAGTATTTCGTTGGAGTTGCAAAGCAGGAGTATCTCTCCCAGTTCCTCCAATACCCACGGAGATGCTTGTAAACAATATAGAGTCGAACCTCAGCCAAGTTATAAGGCAAGGTTTCCAGTTGGGGTGGAATCTAAGCGACGCTTCCTGCACAGAATGTTGGCAATCCAGTGGACAGTGCGGATATAACTCCACTTTGAATCGTGCAACTTGCTTTTGCCGCCATGGATCCTCCGCAAAATCTTGTTCAGGTACCACTTTCCTTCAATCACTTATTGCAGCGGTAGGCATGCTTAATTAATATTTAATTAATTTGATTAAAATTAGGGTCCCTTTGGTTTAGTTTATAGTTAGAATTGGAATTGGAATCCGAACGGTGTATTTTCATAATCTATTTGGTTCAGATATGAATGGAAATGAAAATTGAAATCAGTAGGAATGAGTTTTCATTCCTAAATCCCAATAAAAGAGAGAAGAAATGACCATTCCCTCATTGTTCAGAATAAAGTAATTGCAGTGACCAATTCCAAACATCCTCGGGGGTTTCAATCTAGCTATTAATTTGTAGAATTGTAGTTGGTAAGACAAGACGACAAGACACGGCTTGGCTTCATCTGGAATCTGAAC